ATTCATCTGTGAACAATGTAATTTCCATTGTGGTCAGTTCAGCTGAGGCAATTTCCTGTGTCTATATAAGTGCAGCAGAAGTGGGTCTTCAGAAAGTCTTTTGTATGAGCAGTCATTTTCCCACAATTGTGGGAGAATTCATTCAGTTATTTCAAAATAGTGAGTTAAAAGTTTAATTATGACATGTAATTTAAAACTAAATAATCAAAGCTTGCATAAAGAATTTAAATGTAATGTTTTGCTTATAAATTTTGAGTCATTACAAAAAAGAGACTGTAACAGATTGCAAAAATTGCACCACTGTATCTAGACAAATGAAGCCGAGATCCCTTTTTCTGTATTTGGAACATCTGCAATTTGCTTTGACTCCATCTTCTTTGAGCAGTCCTTGCACTTTTTTGTCGAAATATGCCATTTGATTACTCATAGGATTGGCTTTTATTTCTGTTCTGTTTTCAATCAAACATGTAAAAAAAAAGGAAAAAAAGCTTTTATTTAATAACCTGCAGGAAATGTGATCCTTTAATGTGGAAGAAGAAAGTGTGCTGTAATTTGTTTGAAGGACAGATGGTGAAAATATATAAGAAGGTGGATACACATATTTGCTTTGAAACATCTGTCAACATTTTAAGGGTGATCCTCAAGTTTATGTGATATTCACTGTTAAAAATGTATGTTTATATTAGAGCATACCAATATTTTACACAATTATGTAGAATCAGTATTTTCTTTATTAAAGTCCAGTAATTTAGTGAAGCATCAGACATCTGAAAATATTCTTTCCACTTTTAGCATACATAACTACTGTTTTTATACATGTATTTTGTCAAATCTGTTCATTAAATTTGTTAAAAATACATGAGAAGGTTACAGAATTAGAACAGTTATTCGTATATGTGAATGTATTCCCTTTGAAGTGTTTTAAAAAACGTAGAAGTTCTGTTAAGTTTTCAGCAGAAGCAAAGCTTTTGTGACATTTTCTGATTGCTAGAAAATAAAACATTGGTTGTTTCTCAGCATACGCCTTGAATTATTCATCCTTACTCATCTTTTTGGCAGATTATGGTCTTTCATTACTTATATATGTCATCTTTGTATATTTTCAACTTCAAGAATAATTATTTATTTTAGCCCAGTTTTTATGAGGTTCCTGTTATCATAAATCATATTGGTTACTAAAAACTATAACTTGATGTTCTTATCTTCATACATGATTTATTGTAGCGTGTAGCTTTTGTAATTTTTGAGTTTTCCATATTCAGTTATTTTTTTTAACTTTTCTTGTCTTTTGTGACTCATTAATGTTGTACTGAAATGCCTCATATCCTTTGCATTTAGATACTTTAGCAACAGCAGGGATGATTTCATTAACAGACAGCCACATAAGGCACAATTTAAGTTATGAGCCACAACAAAATAAATGTGCATTTTACATTGAACTGTTAATATGTTTATGTTGAGTGCCATTTGCACTGAAAAAAAAAAGTTAGTGTTGGACCTGAATATCAGTGTTAGAACCTGTGAAAATATTAATCTGTGTAGATGGGTCACTTTGTTCAAGGGCATCCCAACATTTCATAGTACATAATTACCCTCATGAATTTCCGAACTAAGATTCACCATTTAGATTTCTTTCAGATTTATCAGTAAATGTGGAGTTACATCTAAGCTGATGAAAATTTGCTTTGCTAAATAGTCTCATTGTTAGCTACTGCATGTTTTAGGCAAGACTTCGAAAATGTCATTAAAACAAAAATATGTTTTGATATCAGTTACTTAAATCTTTTTTCTTGATTAAACGTGCATGTAGTATACTTATGCTTGGAGAACCAGTACACTGAACATTTTTTACTGCTAAAACTGGAACTTAGATACAGATTATTATTTTTCTTTAATTATTGCTGGTGCACCTTAGAATAAGAATATATGCACTTTAAAAATATTAAACAAGTTTTGTTTCATCAACGTACAGTTAATTGGATGCTGCAGTACCAAAAAAAAAAAAAAAAAAAATGCTGATAATTGACTTACTGGATATCCCTCTTATAAAACAGAAAATGAAAATAGATTTTCATTATAGCATAAGAAAGTAGGTACAATTTTTCAACATGTCTAGCTGTAAAATTTGTGTATTTCTCTACTTATGAAATGGTCTTTTTTTTTTTTTTTTTAATCACAAAACAGTTCCTTTTTCAAACTTCCTACAAGAAATCTAAATGTGTGGCATTTGTTCTGGCATTCATTTCAAAACTTACTTGCTAGCATAATAAAGTTATATAAGAATGATGAGCCATTTCTGAGGTACATAAAAATTTAAGAATTTCTTTTTTATCATCTTATCTAAATTTGAATGCAGTTATGTTATAAAGTAGTTATTTTGAGGTAAAAAATAGATCCTATTCATCAAAATTTCACACATCTTTCTCCTATTGTTAGAAAATGCATATAGGATTGTAAGGATTATGTTAATTTTATTAACAGTTAAATTTTGAGTTAAAGTTCCTTTCCTGTCAATTCTTAACTTCAACTTACGATTTACTGCCCTAGAACCGTAGTTTTAGAATCACGTCTGAATACATAATGAGGAAAGAGCGCTATTTAACCATGAAGTTCTTCTGTGCTTAGAGAGAGAGATTACTATCATACGTACCTATCTGTCTGCATACGCCTCTCCCGCCTTTTAGGCTACTCTCTCACAAGCTATTATTATGCTCGGCCGTACTTTAGGCCCTTGATAGCTTTTCAGTTTATTAGCATTAAAGGGCCAACTCTGTTAGAATTTTGATAGCTTTGGCTATACCTCTTTAGTTAAGTATTATTCTTAGTCTCTTAAGTTCAAGCTGAAGTGTCAGCTTTATTGTACACTCTAAGACGGAGTTTTGTTAAACCTTATTTGGAGTAATAAAGGGTTAGTTTACCCTTCTATCTTGTTTCCTGTCGTATGAACTCAAGCGATTATCCGCTTATCAGTTCTTAAGATTCTTCACTTCCAACAGTAACTTAGAAATTACAAAGTGAGGAACTCTACATGATAATAGAAAAGGCTTTTAAAAACCTGATTTTGATTAGAAACCTCCTTTGTTGATTGTGTTAATATATCCTTATTTGATACCGGGCAAGCACACTAGAACTGCTTACCAGTGGAAATAGGGTGCTTTCATGGAGGATGTTTTAAGGCTGATTGACTCATTTATATTATATGTGAAGGAAGCTTACTTCACATCACGAATATTGAATAATCAATTCTGTTACTTTCTCAGTATATAGTGATCACTGTCAATAGCACTTAAATCAAGTTACTAAGTTTTATGTGCTATAAATTTATAATACTGCCTTTGGGGGAAAAATTCCAAATGAATTATAGCTATCAAAATCTTAATATGTGAAATATGAATATATAATTAGAGAAACTGTAATTATAAAATCATTGCAATGACAGGCTATTTTCAATTATTTCTTAATGCACTATAATTATTATTTAAGAAATTTTAAAGAACAAATTAAGCATATTGTGATGCAGGTTTTCTAATAAGCTAAGTGGTAAATGAATAACCCCATGCTGTTGGAAATCCGTGTTTAGGTTTAAAAGTTATTTGAATGAAGAAAAGTGAGTACTGAATTCTGAATACTAAATCTTGGTCAGTTACTGACAAAACTGCTAAGACTATGGTAGTGTAATTTGGCTTTTAATTCATGGCAAGAGGAACTTCCCATGTATAAATTAAATACTGCATGCTTTCTGTACAAAATTCTACTCAACGACAGTCTTTCACTTAGGTAGACAGCTGTATTATGTTTTGGTGTATTTGACTGGCCAAATCAAACATAATTTAATCTCGTGTATCTACGTTATGTTTCATCAGATTTCTAGATATCGTGATCAACAATGGCAATAAACGGAGATACATTTCTCTAGGATCTCTATATAGTATTAGCATTTTCCTGTATTTTCTGTTCATAGCTTTGTGCATCTTCTCATAATATAAACCAACTAATGGCTGAATTTCTAAAGCATAAACTAGCAGCTTATCCAGTGATCTATTTCTCAGTGTTGAACATGTTGGCTATGAAAGGCTTTCTTCATATATAATATAAATATGAACTTGTACTCGAACTCTTGCAGTCTAGGAATCCATTCCTCTTGATGGATTTCACTGCTGTACTTTTCTATAATGAAAAAATTCTGTCAAATCTGTGTATCTTGAAAGAATTTTTACATAAACAGTTTCTTGTCAATATTTTTTAGATGAATGTAATTTAGAAGCTAGCAGTGAAAAAAAAATGTTCTTTCTTCTTTATTTGCCCTCAAAACTTTCTATATAAATTCACTTACTCTCGGTTAGGAATTAACATGTGGCCTTATGCCCACTGAATATTTAATAATTCATTGTGTCCGACCTGATTATAAGATAGTTTCCAACAGGAAATCCTGTAGGGTGGTAGACTTTGAGTATTTTGCTGTAAAAACTTATTTTAACCTGACTATGTAATTCAGATTTTAGCCTGGCTATATAATTTTCAAAATGCACTACTTTGCATCATTAATGCTTAATCAATTTTTATTATCCTTGCACATATGTTGTTTATATGGTATTTAAATATAAAACATCAGATATGCATGTAGAAGTTTGTTCTCCATAATGTTTTATTTTCATGCATGGAGTAAAATGATGGAACTTGCTTTATACATTGGTAAAATCTGTTTCTGTTCCTCTAATTAAGTTAATGTGGTCAAATTTGTATTTGAATATATATGTTGAGTTTCTTTTTCAGTGAATTAGACCTGGGAAAACAATTAAGCAGGCAATGTATATTTTGCATGACTTTCCTTGTGTACTTTTTAAGCCTGTATTTGTTTTTATATTTAATTCCAGAATTCTAACAAATTTATAAAGCCTGTGTTCATTTTCTGATAAATTAAAGTTATATATATATATATGTGTGTGTGTGTGTATAAAACTTTATGCTGATTTACACAACTGTTTGTTATTTTACAATAGAAAGTGTTTCGTATTCCTCGCCGAGAGTCACAGAAACCAAAAGTTGAAGGATTTGCTGAGAAAGACAATCATGGTGGCTTAAATGAAATTTGCAAGAACTGTAACATTCCACATGAAGACTTCTGTAAACAGTGTGAACCAAAGCATCATGATGGTAAAAACAGTCTTGTGAATATAAATTTCAGTTGCATGAAATTATCTTTAAAATTTTAAGTTTTCTCCTTTCTAATTCATTACAACAAAATTAATCCAGATGTTTAATGTCTCTATATCTTTTGCTTCTATATGCATGTTAAATAACATTAACTAGATTAGCTATTTATGAAGTAAATCAGATGTGCTTACATTTGATTTGCATCATTGATTTCGTACGCATAGACAATATCATCGCGATGCATTTATATGTATGCTTTTCTGGAATAGCATAATTGTTGATTTTTTAGGAGGAAAAAGTGTAAGATTTCCAGCAATGTTTGAAATAACCTTATACTATTTTATCACATTCCTAAAAATCTTTTAGTTTATATTATAAATGTATGTAAACCATTTACTAATCAAAAATCTTTTTGTCCACCTGCCTAACATCTGCAATTTTTAACTTTATTACTTCATTGTATGTGTAGTAAAAATGTGCCTTTTCAGACATTTGGGATCAGTCACAATAAAGATAAAGGAGCATGATTTGCTCCCATGTTGTTGCCTATGAATATGGCAACCTTAAATAGAAGTTTAAATAAATACATATAACAGAGCTTGGTCTGTCAAAGAATATACATTTCAAGTCTTGAAATAAAAATAAATTTTTTATTGTGTATGGTATCTGATCGAAAATTCTAGTGAATGCTGTGAAAATGTTTAATGTGCCATGGGCAATGATTGCCATGATGATGATCTGCATTCCTACAGATACATGACATTTAAAAAGCTACTCATTACATGCATCTTATATTCCTTTTATATTCTAAAAAAATCTGGAACATTTCTTTGAAAAATGAAGGTCTTTAAAAACTACACATGGCTAAAATATATGGACTGGTTTGTGTTAGGCTGCCATTTACTATAAATAAAGAAGGTTCAAAGTAACTTATAAATCCTTTTTCATTAAATTTTTCTGTGCATACAGAAGAAAATTTTTAGGTGTTTCCAGACTGGGCACAACATGCTGCAAAGGCCTATTAGTAGCACCATGTACGGTGGTGTTGAGGGCATGCCTTCTTTACTGATGAGAGTTCTTTCAGTCTGACAAACATTTCTTGGCACCAGCTGATATATAGAGAGATAGGGACATACTTTTGCCCGCTGATATCAGAGAAGAAAGACAACTGGAATAGTCCTGGCATACTTGCATGGGAAGGCATTATGAATGGGTGGATGTAGCTCCACATTTTCAACAGATGTTACCAGAGGTTGTTACTCTGATAAATTAATTTTCCACCATATGCATCTTTTACGTGATGCCATTGGTCTTGCCTGTTTTTATGGATGATTTTGTGGAATTACAGCCAAAATCAGAAAAGTTGCTTAAATTTTGCACACTAATGTATATTCCTCATACAAAAAACAAAAACAAAAAAATTACATAGAAGAATAAAGAAGTAATACTAAGTAGTCAGCTATTAAAATATGAGTAGTTTGCTTGAGTAAAATTTCTGTATTAACATAATCATGCAAGCAATGTGTAAAATTCAGGAAGGTGCATAGTAATTCAGAATTTAAATAGTTTGGTTTACTTTTTTAGATCCCTTGAATATACTAATATAAATATTTTTTATTAAATATTCTAAAATGCAATTATTTTATTTTAATGTTTTCATTTTTCCTTAAGAAAAGCCTTTTGAGCGCTCGAATGTCTTTACTGAACTATCTATGGATGAAAAACCTCGCAAGTGAGTAATTAACATATTTATATGGCATACTAATCTGAAAACATACTTTATTCTTTAATTTTGAAAGTTCTTTTCTGTGTGACTTTTATAAATGGAAATACTTAATGTTTATTACTAATTATTTTAAAACTTTAACTTTTTTTAATTAGTTCATGCACAAAAGACTGAATTACTTTCATGGCATGAAATAAATAAATGCTTTCATTATAGTAAAATGGGTTATGTTCTGTGGCTGTATTAAAACTTTAAAATACTGTCTGAATATGCAATTTTGTTATCAATACTTGAAAATTGAAAAGTAATTACATTTAAGAAAAACTAAAAGACTAAACATTTGATATGCTAGGTATAGAATATGCAAAAAATTATTCTGTCTTCCAGCAGTTCAGCAAAATACCGCTTTAGTACTATTTGCGATAAATCTAAATTTAAAATATTTCGACACTTTTGGAGGCACTCAAGATTCCATATTCAATTTCATTTACTACATGACATATAATGAATAATTAATAATATTAGCAAATTAATTGAAATTTAAGAATACTATGTATAATTTTATTTTATTAATAAGGTTTTTTAGTGTTTCTAAAATGATATAAATTCTAGTTAACACGAGTCATAAAGTTATTCCAACATTAGTCATAACAGAAATATTATTTTTCACTTAGTCACTCAAAATTGGCTATAAATATACTATATTTTGATTAAAACATATTTTGCATCTGTTTAAAAGCATGGATAAAAAATAAGCATGGATCATGTAGTCATAGATTATCAGGATTCTTTTGAATGTATAAGCATGTATTTATATTTATTCATGTTGCTATTATTCCTTTACTAATGGAGAAGCAGAATGGATATATTATTTTTGTCTGCAATTACTATTTTAAATCCTAAGTTCTGAATGCAGTTGGACTGAAATAAATGCTAAGAAATAAAAAAAGAATGTGAATAGGAAATTATTCTTTACCATGTCTAATATGTTGTGAATATATGTTCGGATCTGAATTAAATATATCATTATTGTGTTTTTCCTTTATTTTCATTTTTTAAATTATCAATTGTATCTGAATAATGATTATAAAAATCTTATTTTAGAGTTCTTCTTCCGACTCCGCCTCTATCAATCAAAGAAGAAAGACAATACCCAATCTCACATTTATTAACCAAAGAAGAGAAACGCAAGCAGTTTGCAAAAAAAATCCAGCAGAAAGATCAGAGGGATGCAAAATTACGGAAGCATCTGAAACATCCAAATACTTCTGATGTGAATGGGTTTCCTGATGTTTCATCCTTTGCCTCTGATTCTGTATCTTATTTTAATGCTACAGATGAAAACTATTCTTTTGTAGATCCCTCTTACAAGACCTCTGGAAGTACCATTTCCCCTTATGATCAGTACTATTATAATACGAAATGCTTACAGTCACCTCGACCTGCCCTCTTGCCAACGCCTGGGACTGAATCTACTACTATAAATCCAGGCTCTCTTCCATCCATTCCAGATAATTCTGCTACCATCATGTATACGCCAAATGTTTTGTATCCTCCTCATCATCCTTCTCCTCAGGTATTCACATTCAGAAGTTTTTAAAATATTATGTTTTAAATAATCTTATTGTTTGTCATGTTTAGTTTATTATTTCTGAATTTAAATTTGGTTTTCTGTCTTTGCTAATTACATAAGACTAATCTTAGCTTGTATGTATAAAGCTAATAAAATAAAATGCAAACCAGAAACATGTAAAATTCTAAAATACTTACAGCAGCTGAACGAGATTTTAGTATAGATTTTGGAAAGTTTTGCCTAATGATATGACAGCTTTCATACTGCATGATGACAGGTCTGGTTGCAAAATATACTATAATTTCTGTTCTGGTTTATTGTTACAGATTTTATGTTATTTGCACAGAGGTTTCTAAACCTTTGTTTGCTTTGCAGAGCTAAGATTGCAGAGCTAAACTAAGTAAGAATGTTTGCCCTACCTTATGCTTTGAATTATTTTTAAATCAAGGGAGATAGATTGAAACACCAGTGACTAAATGAATGTAAATATTCAATACTTTATTTCCGGGTTCATTGACTATTAAGCTGGCTCTCAGAATTTTCATGGTTTTTCTATATATGCATAGTGTGACCAAAATTTGTTTTTGCAAAGACTATCATCAAGGTATATGTCTCCTAGAGGCAGCAATATGTGATGTGTTATAAATAGATAAGATATGAATATTTTAATAATAATTTATGAGAAATGGTTGTTGATATTGCTGAAAAATGGCATTACAAATCCATTTGTTTAATTCATTAGCTCACCCTGCCTGAGCATTTGAGAAAGTAAAAATGATGAAGAATTCAGCTTTCTTTGTTTAGATTTTTTATCTGCACTACGCAGTTAAGTTAGAATATTAGAAATATTTGAAAGCACTGTAAGTTCCCACTTTTCAGGTTTTGTAATTGAATTTAATCCTATAGCTTGCCCTGTGTAGGTTTTAATTTAAAGAAGATATAACTCCATGCTATGCATCTCATTAGCTGTGCTTCAGATATGCATTCTTGTGCTTCTGTAATGCATATTATCAAAAATGTTGAGTATTTAGAAAAAAATAATGAAGAATTAGACATTTTCTGTAGCTGTTAAATAGTAAAGAAACAGCTAGCTACACAATTAAATGAAAAAGTACAAAATTTGATCGAAGATGACTCAAAGTTAGTGTCAGGCATTAAAACTTCTGCGGGTTATCTTGATAATAATAATACAGTGTAAAATCAATTGTTATTTTAAGAAGCTCAATGCTCAAAATGTCTATATGAATTTAAATAATGTCTAACATTTCATCTACAGATGTCAAAAGAAACAAACAAAAAAAGTTGATGGTAATGTGAAATTAATCAAAAATTGTATGGAGACTATAATAATTAGATCAGGAGTTCTCAACTGGGAGGGCCAGCCTTTTATTAGCTGTTAAGTATTTAGTTATAGTTTATGAAAAAAAGGTACAGCTTTAATTCAAGTTTTTGTATTTATCAATAGTTTCTAGCTTTTTGTTGTTTAGTTTTTAAAGCAAGTTAAGAAATATCCAAATTTAAATGAATTCAGAATGTGTTTTTGAAGTTTGGAAAAGGATTGAGGAATGATCTTCTTTTTACCAATGGCAAAAAGGATGCATGGGGTTAAAGAGGTTGAGAATCACTGGATTAATGGTTTTTTTTTGGAATTCATTCAAAGTTACAATTAATGGTATTGTTACACCTTCAAAAACCAAGAAATGCAATAAATTGTGATACAGTTAAAAAAATGCAAAAACTTTGATACAGTTAACACAATGATTACATAATAAAAGCCTGTCAGAAGTAGATATAAAAATCAGAAAATTATTCCATGTTAATTCCAGTTTTGATGAAAATTGTGCCTAGCAATATCACCTTAAAGTTTCATTGTACAAGTAATGTAAATTCTTCAACCTGTAATTTAAATGAATTTCTAAACTTTTTTAATTTTTTTAAAAGTTATTAATGGAATTCCAAGAGAAAATTAGTTATTTATATTTTCCATGCAAATCAAAGCTGAAATGACAAGTGATTGGAGTTTGTATGACTCAAAAGGCATATCAAATTCAAACATTCTGAAAATTAGTTGACATCCACTGACACCAAAGCTTAAACAAACCGTCACTATGCATGAATTTATTGCAGACGCTATATCAAATCAAAACTGCATTTTTTGTTAGCAGAATCACATCTGGGAATCATGGAATTTTGTTGTTTAATGAAAGAAGAGACATTTTGGTGCAATAGATGCTTTTTTTCTTGTTCCCAGATAGAGAATTTCATAATGCAGACAACAGCAAACCAAATTTTGTAAAATTTGGAAGCCATGTGTGTTAAGTCCAGCTTGACAGTTAAAAATATAGAGGCTGATAAAAATTGTATTTCAGTAATTTTGAGAAATGATGTGCAAATTAAGCAGCAGAATTGAGAAATTGTTTGAGCCATTTCATTTAATGTAAGTAACATAATTTTATAGATTTGCATGATAAAAGTAAAACAGAAAATTAAGAGTAAACAGAAAAGGAGAAAGTGTTTGCCAGACTTCTGCATAGTGGAAATATAAAAAGCTTTTGTACTCACAAGTTAGTGAATAAATTAAACCTCAAAGCCATAAGAAAGGAAAAAAATGACTACTTATAATATAAATTTTCAACAAGGGGGAATTTCATAGTTTCATTGGTGCATGGGATTAGTATTTTATTTACCTGTTAAGTATTTAGTATTATTTTATGAATATAGAAAACTATTCAAGATTTGGTATTTATTCACATTTTCTACACTTTTTCTTCTTTCATTTCTAAAAAACATTAAAAAAAGAATCTAAATTTTAATAAATATGTAATTTTTTAATTTTGGGATGGGAGAGAAGCGAATGGTCATCTAGCGATGGTTAAAATGGTGCACCGAGGGAAAAAAAAAAAAAAAAATTAAGCACCCCTGGTCTTTCTTTGGGAAACACCACACACATTCGGTAGAATTACGATGTGGTTAAATTAAAGCTAGAACATAAAGTTCTTCCAATTCTAGAATAAAAGTTGAATTATTAGTAACTGATCAGATAACAGGTGTAAACATTCTTTCCTCTAGATTAGAATAAAACAGGCAAAACAGATGATTAAAAAATTTTATACATGCAGAATTGCAAAGAATCCATTGCCATTTTAATTGAAGCAGATTTTTACAGCATAGTGAGTGATTGGGATACATTAAAGGCAAACAGAAACTTTGTTGCACTGGAAACTATTATTTGCTACTTCATACAAGGATGAAAATGTGATGATAACGTTGGGAACTTTCAGTGTAATTGAAGGGGAAGATTTTTATTTCTGAACATATAATGAAATTTTATGGCTTCAAGAATTCGGAACTTGCTTTTGAGAAAGAAACCTTCAATTAAATTGAAAAATCAAGTCATCAAATATTTGGAATCAAACAATAATATAGGAAAATCCTCGCTACAAAGTTAGATAGCTGTGGAAATATGACACATCAAGTCTAAATGATAATAGGGAAGTTGCAGAACAAAGCCTAAGTTGACTTGGAAAGTGAAAAAAATCTTGATCTATTTTTTGTAGACCAAAACATATAACAAGATGCCTTAAAACAAAATATTATTGAACTGGTTGCAAACAAGCAAATGAAGTATTGTTTATGATGTACCATTGCATGCCCTGGGCTCCATTTCTTTAAATGATTGTGTACATGCTGGGCAAAATTTATACTGAGATATATTTAAAATCTTATTAAGATTCAGATATAATATAATAGCATTAAAACAAGTCTTCTTACAGATTCTCATACATGAAAATGACCAAGACCCAACCAGGTTTTTGTTCTCCTAATTCCTCATTGATAAAACTATTTCTCCTAAGATATATAGTTTTACGATTGTCCTATTTGGAATAAATGTTGGTCTGTTTCTGTTAGCAGCCACCATTAAACATAACTTGAAAATATATAATGAACTTCAAAACAGTTAAACTTCTGAACAAGAATGTAGATAATGTAATTGGAAATCAACAAACAATCAGTGAAGCACTATGACCCTAGAATCAGTCCAGACTTTTAAAGAGGCAAGCTTGCATTTTCAGATGTGGCAGTAACTCAGAACAATAACATAAATTGTGTATAAAAGAAGGCATATTTCAGATGAAAATTCCAAAGATTTTAAAGAAAATTTCCCATTCAGTCTTGAGTATTGTGTGGGATACTGTATATTTCTGAAAATAAGATCATAGTTGAATCCTGAAAAAAGGGCCTTCAAATCCGAGATCATTAAAAGAAAAATAAAGATTAAAAATACCTAAAGATAGAATCCAAGAATCATCTGCATTTGCAGTTTGTGGAGTTGATTTCATTACACCATTTGTATAAAGAATTCTTAAGATACCTGAAAATCATGTATAGTTTTAGTTGCCAGTGCAGTAACCTTAGCTATACATTTCATCAAATATATCAACAGAGTCCTTTCTACTTGCATTTTGTAGATTTTTGAGCAGAAAAGGAAACTGCAAATTTTCACAACACAAAAACTTTGAAGAGAATAAAGAATCTGACAATTTTTCCAGAATTTTAGGTAATAAATTCTATAATTTTATTGCCAAAAAGAAAAGAATGCAGTGTAAGTTTATAATTAAGCAAACTGCATGCTGAGAAGCATTTTATGAAAGTCTCATCTGGTCCATCAAAGAATGTTTATCTTCTTAACGACCGCGCCCGAGATATCTCAGGAATAGATGGTGTTTCGATTTTCCTTTGAACTAGTTAACTTGGGCGCTGAAAATTTTATGGATATTTAATGGCATCGCTGGTAATACCGCGTGGCAATCAACACTCCGCCATGCACGTTTTCTAAGGTGTGGGAGGGGTCGAAGCGTCTTTTGTGTTTGATTCATCAACACTCTGCCATGCACATATTTTCTTAGCTGTAGGAAAGGTCCAAGCGGGTTTTGTGATTGGTTCCTCCATGATCCTGAGCTGCAGTTGGCAACGTGGCCGCATTATAAATAAACTGTAAAGTT